AAATAATACATGCTTCTATAATTTCAGACATACAGAAAAACATTAAGAAATTAAAAAGAGTACTTCTATTAAGATTTTGGTGAATATGTTTGTAAAATAATGTGCATACTGTTTGTCAGCTAACTTTGTGTTGGTATGTTTGGACCTCTTTCTGTGTCATTTCCTTTCTGTGGAATGTTCTCCTTCCTTCTTTCTTGGTCTCCTCCCTCTTTAGCTAATGCCTGCTTGTTCTTTTGGTCTCAGTTTATAAAAAAATAAGTCCTTCCTGTCCCATGGGACTGGTTTTCCTGTAGTAAGTTCCCATAGTAACCCTCAGCACATTTGTGAGTATTTGATCATTATTTCTCTTCCTGACAACAGTGTACATAAGAGCAGGAGTCACATTTGTCTTGCTAACCACCATCCCCAGGCAAAAAGTGCTTGGCATGTGGTGTGTGTCCAGTATATATTTGATGAATTAATTAAATATAGATCTTGGGGCAGGTTGCCCAACTAAGGTCCACAGTGAATCATATACCCAATATCTACTCCCTTGTGCTAACTGCTCCCACAGTAATGCTGAACGAGGCCACGTGACTTGCTTTGGCCACTGGGACATGATGCAAAGATTTGATAAGCACTTTTGCCTTGGAGTTTGTCCCTTTGGAACACTGTCACTGCCATATGACATGCTCCTTGAGGTTGAAAGACCACCTAGAGAGAAGCCCACTTGAGTTTCCAGTTGACTTACCAGCTGAGTGCAGCTGCATGAGTGAGCCCAGATAGTCCACAGAATCACGGGGAAAAATGAATGATGAATGTAGCCAAACTGCTTAGAGAAGTCTGACTTTATAGGGGTGTGGAAAGGATAAAAATAGACATAAATCCAGTTCTCAGAATGTGAGGATTAAGCACATCTCCACTTTTCCACTTCTTAATCATCTTCTGGTACCAAGCCACCTGTGTGACACTCTCTGCTCTGACCCTAGCCACACAGAACTAGGTTAGAGCTCACAAGTTAAAAGGACACCATCTTCAGACTGCCAGTCGCAAATTTGGGGAGTCCATGTGACACCTCCGCCTTCTGACCTACTGAGCACAATTTCAACCATGTTAGCCAAAACACTAACTCATGACCCCTTCAAGATACCAACCCTACCTGTCACCTGTTGACTGCCATTACTCCTTTTTTGGGTTGATAATTTACTGGATCAACTCAGAACTCAGAGTTCTGTACTTAGGATTACAGATTTATTATTATCAAAAAGGATACAAGTGACGAGGCACAGCAAGGTCTGGGAGGGTCCCAACACTGAGCTTTCATGTCCCAAGGGACATGCTGCCCTGTACATTGTGTACATTGATGTCTTTCACCAACCAAGAAGCTCTTCTGTATCCAGAGTTTTGATTGACTTCCTTGAATAGTCATGATTGAAGATTCATTGCATAGTTGTGATTGGCGCTTCATTGGAACGCATGATTGATTAAATCATGCTCCCTCCCTTCCTGAGGTTAGCTGACTAGGTGGCCCTTCCAGCTTGGCCAGCCCCCTACTTGTTAGCATACAACTTCTCATAACGTGTTTGGGCCTTGATAAAAAAAGGCACCTCAGTTACTCAGAAATTCAAGGATTATCAAGGACAAGGGCCAAATCACTCTCTACGAGGTGATTCATTATAACCACCTGGTAGCAGGTGAGGATGTGGAGTCAAAGAAGAATTCTTTTTGAAATGTGGAAGAGACTTAAGCATGCTGAGAAAGACAGGTTGATTCAGGTTGGAGGAGAGAATAGCAACAGGAGAAGGTTCCAGATGTTGTGAGTGGTTTGGATGTAGGCGATTGGTAGAGGTGGCATTAGATAGTTGCCCCTTCCATTGTCCCCAGAGGGAGGGAGGGAAGTGAGGGTGTAGGTGTAGTGGGTTTCTGCGTTGCGCAGTGGAAGTGGAAGTCGGTCCTGTCAGATGGCTTGTTTGCATGGAAAGCTGAAGACTGGAGAGAGGACAGAAAGTTTGAGGCCCTTGTGGCGAATGGCAGAGCCAGCTGACTAACATTCTGTTTTTTCAGTTGCAGATCTTAGACTAGCTAGCTCCTTTGTAAATTAAAAGCACTAGCCAAATGTTAGTTGAAATTATTCTGAATTATTCAACCAGTGAAGATTAATCAAACGTTTTCCCCATCTGCCCACTTTAGGTTTCAATGTGGAGACAGTAGAATATAAAAATATCAGCTTCACAGTCTGGGATGTCGGTGGCCAGGACAAAATCAGACCTTTATGGCGACATTATTTCCAGAACACCCAAGGTAAAAACGATCAAGTCTGTAGCTGGAAACTGTTGATGTTAAATGTGTCTAAAGAGGGATGCCTGGAGTGCTCCCGGCTTTTTGGGCCTCTTACACTTACTGGGGATGTTTCTTTTGAGATGTGATCTCTGTTTTCCTAGAAGACCTACTGGACTTTAACTCCTTTTGATTCAGAATGGTTAAGAAAAGGTTATCTTGATGAAGTTCATCTTTTGGTTGAGATTTATATGTGCTTTAGGTGAACCATTCATTTTCAAAGAATTTGAATTCGGTAGAATCTTGGAAACCTGTTGAGAATATCTAAAATCCCATCTGTGGAGATGAACAGAGATGGCTGGAACCCAAATCCCAAATCCTGGCCTCCTGTGTGAGTGGCCATGACCTCTCCCTGGTGTGCAGCTGTCCCACGAGTTAGTGGCTGGGCACGGACACCCCAGGTCATTACCTTATTCCCTTGACATTTGTTTCTTAAAAGCAGAGTTTTTAATGTGTTCTTTCTGCATCAATATATTTGAGATTTTTCATTGGTTAAATTTTGGATAAATGATACTTTACTGAATATTGCCTATCAAAACGTCTGTAACTGTTCACATATATATATTTTTAATACCCTGATTCTCACGTAGAACCATAGCCATGTAGCACCTGTATGTGACTCATTTTGGAATTTGTTTGGAGTCTTTCAGTTTTGAAGATTCTACTGCTGATGGTGTTTTCCTTCCACATCTTTCATGGTAAAGACTATCATTTGTTGGTCTGAAAGTAGACTGACTGTCCTTTATATTTTATATCAGTGTGTTAGCTGTTACCTTTAGCACTTTATAGATCTCTCCTCAGCCTATAGATTTTAGAGTGTTTTCTCTCAAAATACCACAGTGCATCTATTTGTTTTTTTTCATAAAGTTTAAAACATAGAAAAGGAGAGAAGAAACAATAACCCCCATGTACCCCCATCACCCACCTTAACAGACACTTGTCCAGAATGTGTTACGTGAATTGCCAGGCGTGATGTCCTTTGATCCATGCATCTTTTAGTGTTCATTTCTAACAACAAGGCCTTTTTTAAACAAATGAACAAACATATACATGATCTCCATGTCATTATCACCACTACAAAGATAATAATCCTATAATATCTAGCACTCAGTCCTCACTCAGATTTCCCCAGTTGTCTCAGATGTTGTCCTTTGCACCTCTGATGTGTTTGCATCAGGATTAAACAAAGTTCACATGGCTGCATTTGGTTGGTAGGTCTCTTTAGTCATGCCCCTCCCCCCTTTTCTGTAACTCTTTGTGTTAGATGTTTATCCCAGGTTGTGGATTTGACTGATGGCTTTGTTGGTATCATTTAACTAGTTCATCTGTCTGTAGACTTCCTGTAAACGGGTAGCTAGTTCTAGAGGGTTGATTAGATTCTGGCTCATTGGGAGGCAAGAATAAGGTAGATAAGGAGGTAAGTGGTCTGGGCAGCTATTGCATCACATGCTAACACAGAAATGTGATTGTCACACTTTTAGTGATGCTAAGATTCATTTGTGCATTCAGGTGGTATCAGCCTCATTCCCCTAAAATAAAGTTCCCCGTCAAACTGTCCCCCAGGGGTTTTTAGCACCCATTGAGGCCTGTTGGTTAGATCCTTCATTTCATTAGGAATTAATGAAATAGTGATTTTCTAAAGTTGTCATTCCTTCTGTATTGCACAGCTGAAATCCTTCTAAATAAAGAATTCCCTCATCATGTATTTGGTTTCCATGAAATACAATTTGTACGGGGAAGAAAGGAAAAATGCTTAATACTTGTACCAATTTTCAGAGGAACAACTTGATACTCTAGCAACTTCCATGGTGACTCAGGTTTTTTTTCAGACTCATAGATTTTTATATTTGTGTTCCAGTCCATGGCAGGCACCATTCTTTTGATACTCACAGTGTCTGTCTTTGATTGGTGCTTCCCAAGCTGGTCAAGCCATCGCAGTTTCTCATTGCTAGTAAAACTGGAAAACACGGCTTTGACCCACAGATCTGCCATGGAACCTTGGGAGAGTTACGTGATCTCTTCTGCCTCAATTTCCTCATCTATAAAATAGAGATAGTACCTGCTGTATGGCCCATTGGGCTTAACTGAGATCAGTTTTGTAAAATGCTTAGTTCTGTGGCAGGAAGGCAGGAGGCACTCAAGGAGCCCAGACTGTTTGAGGTTTGACCTTGCTTTCTGGTGTATTCTCCATGCTCACCATTCAGAGTTGTTACATTAAGGCACCAGGTTAAAGTACCTTTTTGTCTTCACTTTCTATTCATAGCAAGCCTAGTTTTACTGAATTTCAGTAACTATTGCTTTGGTGACAGGGCACTGGTCATACCTTAGAACCTTGTTGTTGTTAGGTGCCTTCGAGTCATTTCTGACTCATAGTGACCCTATGTACAGCAGAACGAAACACTGCCCAGTCCTGTGCCAGGTCCATGATCCCCACTATACCTGAGCCATCATGGCAGCCACCATGTCGAGCCATCTTGTTGAGTGCTTTCCCCTCTTTCATTGACCTTCCACTTTACCAAGCATGGCATCCTTCTCCAGCGAATGGTCCCTTCTGATAACATGAGCAAAGTAGGTGAGGTGAAGTCTGACCATTCTTGCTTCCAAGGAGCATTCTGGCTGCATTTCTTCCAGGACAGATTTGTTAGTTCTTTTAACAGTCCACGGTACTTTCAGCATTCTTTGCCAACACCACAACTCAAAAGCATCTACTCTTCTATGGTCTTCCTTATTCGTTGCCTAGCTCTCACATGCATATGAGGCGATTGAAAATACCATGGCTTGTGTCAGGTGCACCTTAGTCCTGAAGGAAACATCTTTGCTCTTCAGCATTTGAAAGCGGTCCTTTGCAGCTGATTTGCCCAGTGCTATACGTTGTCTGATATCCTGACTGCTGCTTCCATTAGAATTGATTGTAGAACCAAGTAATATGAAGTCTTAGACAACTTCAATCTTTTCTCCATTTATCATGATGCTGCTTATTGGTCCAGTTGTGACGATTTTTGTTTTCCTTATGTTGAGATGTAAATCATACTGCAAACTGTAGTCTTTACTCTTCATCAGTAGTGCTTCAAGTCATCTTTCCTTTCAGCAAGCAAAGTTGTGTCATCTGCATATCGCAGGCTATTAATGATTCTTCCTCCAATCCTGATACCATGTTCTTCTTCATATAGTCCAGCTTCTCAGATTATTTGCTTGGCATACAGATTGAATAAGTATAACTTCCTTCTTGATTTTAAACCATGAGTGTCCCCTTGTTCTGTTCAAATGACAGCCTCGTGGTCTATGTACAGACTCCTCATGAATATAATTAAGTGTTCTGGAATTCCCATTCTTCTCAATGTTATCCACAATTTGTTATAATTCACACAATTGAATGATTTTGCATAATCAATAAAACACAAGTAAACATCTTTCTGGTATTCTTTGCTTCCAGCCAAGATCCATCTAACATCAGCAGTGATATCCCTCATTCCACATACTCTTCTGAATCCAGCTTGCATTTCTGGAAGCTCTCTGTCAATATACTACTGCAACTGTTTTTGAATTATCTTCAGTAAGATTTTACTTGCATGCGATATTAATGATATTGTTCGATAATTTCCATATTCTGTAGGATCACCTTTCTTTGGGATGGGTACACATATGGACCTCTTCAAGTCAGTTGGCCAGGTAGCTGTCTTCCAAATTACCTGGCATAGCCAAGTGAATGCCTCCAGCGTGGCATCCATTTGTTGAAACATCTCAATAGGTATTCCGTCAGTTCCTGGAACCTTGTTTTTCACCACTTCCTTCAGTGCAGCTTCGACTTCTTTCTTCAATACCATTGGTTCTTGATCATATGCCACCTCCTGAAATGGATGAACGTCGACTAATTCTTTTTGGTACAGGGACTCTGTGTATTCTTTCCATCTTCTTTTGATGCTTCCTGCATCATTCAATATTTTGCCCATAGAATCTTTCAGTATTGCAACTCGAGGCTTGAATTTTTTTCTTCAGTTCTTTCAGCTTGAGAAATGTTGAGTGTTCTTCCCTTTTGTTTTTCTAACTCCAAGTCTTTGCACATTTCATTATAGTAATTGACTTCTCGAGCTGCTCTTTGAAATCTTCTCTTCACCTTTTTTACCTTGTCATTTCTTCCATTTGCTGTAGTTACTCTCCATTCAAGAGCTCATTTCAGAGTCTTCTGATACCCATTTTGGTCTTTTCTGCCTTTTTAATGACCTTTTGTTTTCTTCATGGATTATGTTCTTGATGCCATCCCTCAGTCCCTCTGGTTTTCAATCATTGGTGTTCAAGGCATCAAATCTGTTTTTTAGATGGTTTCTAAATTCAGGAGGGATATATCGAAAGTCATATTTTGGTTCTCGTGGACTTGTTTTAATTGTTTTCAACTTCAAGTTGAACTTGCATATGAGCAGTTGTTGGTCTGTTCCACAGTCAGCTCCTGGCCTTGTTTTGGGTGAAGATTCTGAGCTTTTTCATAGCCTCTTGCCACAGATGTAGTCAATCTGATTCCTGTGCACTTCATCTAGCGAAGTCCACGTGTATAGCCACTGTTTGTGTTGTTGCGAAAAGGTATTTGCAATGAATAAGTCGTTGGTCTTGCAAAATTCCATCATGCAATCTCCAGCGTTATTTCTATCACCAAGGCCAAATTTTCCAACTACCAGTGGTTCTTCTTTGTTTCCAACTTTTGCGTTCCAGTCACCAGGGATAACCAGCACATCTTGATTGCGCGTTCGGTCAATTCCAGACTGCAGAAGTTGGTAAAAATCTTCAGTTTCCTTATCTTTGGCTTTGGTGGCTGGTGCGTAGATTTGAATAACAGTAGTATTAACCGGCATTCTTATAGGTGTGTGGATATTATCCTATCACTGACAGCATTGTACTTCAGGATAGATCTTGAAACATTCTTTGTGATGATGAATGCCACACTATTCCTCTTCAATTTGTCATTCCCAGCATAGTAGATCATATGGTTGTCTGATTCAAAATGGCCAAAACAAGTCTATTTCAGCTCACTGATGCCTAGGATATCAATATTTATGCATTCCATTTCATTTTTTACAACTTCCAATTTTCCATGGTTCATACTTCATACATTCCATGTGCTGATTATTAATGGATGTTTGCAGCTGTTTCTCCTCGGTTTGAGTTGTGCCACTTCAGCAAATGGAGGTACTAAAAGCTTTACTTTATCCATATCATTAGGGTCGGTTCTACTCTGATGAGGCAGCTCTTTCCCACTTGTATTTTGAGTGCTTTCTGACCTGAGGGGCTCATCTTCTGGTATTGTATCAGACACTGTTTCGGGGATATTCATAAAATTGTCTGGTAATGTATCAGACAGTGTTTCTCTGCTACTCACAAGGTTTTCCCTGGCCAGTTCCTTGAGAAGTGGATGGCCTCTTCCTTTTTCCGAGTCTTTCTCACTCTGGAAGCTCTTCTGAAACCCTTGCACCACGGGCAACCCTACCGCCATTTGAAACTGGTGGTACAGCCCCCAGCCTCACAAAAAAACACACAAGCCACCACAGTAGGACAAACTGACAGACAAGTTCGTCTCCCTTAGCTGTTCCAAACCCCTCTGCCCACTTCCTGGCCTTCCCCTACCTATTCCACCCGTCGGCCCTGGCTTTTTCCTGCTGCTTCCTGCTTTGGGTGGGGACCCTCCCTCCCCTTGCTTGGATTTGGCCGTCGGCCCTTGGGACCTTGGGGTGGGTAATTTAGACTCTGGGTTGTTAGCAAATGGGAGCTGTTTGCAGATGGATTTGCTGCCTGTGACAGGTCCAGAAGTCTCAGCCGTGAGCAGTTTTGGAACTCTCTTTCCTGCCGACTTCCCAAAGGTCAGGCTGTCTTTTTAAATGTTAATTGTCGTCTTCATCAGTATGTTCAATGTGACAGAACTTGGTAATAGCTTTCAGCTCTCTAGTAAGACATTTATCTGTGTATGGATTTCACTTGTACAGATCAAAATTTGAAGTATTGATGTGATTTCTTAGTGTTTTGTATCATACATGTATAAAATGGTCCATCGGTTATTATAATAACTGAATCGTTGTCGAATGGGCAATATATCCATATGGTTCAAAATTCAAAAAGAATAAAAGGGTATACAGTGAAAAGTCCCTTCTCATTCTTGTCCCCCAGCTATCCAGTAGTTCCTTTCCTAGGTGGTGGTTTTTAGGTGCCCTGGAGTTGACTCCAACTCAGCAAGCAGAAGGAAACACCGCCTGGTCCTGCGTCATCCTCTCCTATAGACAAGCACTCTCATCTTGCATATAAAGCTGATATGAATATATGTCCCTTCCCCACCTTGAGGACTAATGAGAGCCTACTATTCCTGTATAAATTTACAGATCATTATGCTTAAAGTAGTGTCTCAGACTCTTAATGTTCTCCCAGCCATCTTAACTAGGAAACAAACAAACAAAAAAACAACCCAAAGCAACTGTCATCAAGTCGATCCCAACTCATAGGGACCCTGTAGGACAGAGTAGAATTAGAACTGCCCCAGTGCTTTAACCACTGTGCCACCAAATCTTCTTGAACTAGAAAAAGTTCTCTTAATTCCAAGTGTAGTCAGATGGTAGGTTCTTTGGGGATCTTGGGTAAGGACCTGAATAAAAACAATATCAAAGGGACCTAATCTACAAACCTTTATCTTTCATTAGGAGTGGCAAAGAGACATGTCAGCTGCAACCTGTGAGTTTTGCTTTGGAGACGAAGGCTCTCCTTGTATGATTCTGGGTGATCTGCCTCGTTTAGTTGTGACCAAAGTCCGGAACTGCTGAAGGGACATCAAATCTTTAGGGGGAGATTGGAATGTTTTTCGTTTTTTCATCTTTCTGTCTGATGTGACGTAATGGGCATGCCAGCCCCAGGCACGCAGAAGCCAGCGGAGCCCCTGTGCGTGGGCCACACTGCTCTGGAGCGGCTGGCCAGGCAGCCGTCTGGGGGCCTCGGACATGGAGGACGGGGGAGGGCCAGACTGGTTTTCCCTCCCAACCATAGTCATGAGACCTTACTGAGGTCCTCTCAGCCCTCTGTGCTTTTCCTACTGGGGTCTCTTCTGCAGCATCCCCACAAGTTGTGGCTTAACCAGGCCGTATTTCTAGTGACAGGAAGTGCCACCTTCTGAGGCAGCCCATTGCATAGTTTGCATCTCCAGTTCTGACTATCAGGTTGACTTCCTGTGGCTTTTACCTTCTGATCTTCAATCTATCTTATAAAACCAAGAACTGAACCTACTGCCATCGAGTCAATTCTGATTTACAGCAAGCCTCCCTATAGGATAGTAGAACTGCCCATAGGATTTCCAAGGCTGTAA